GATCGACACTGTTGCCTCTAACCTTTCAACTTTCACTTTCCCTGTGTTTACAACTATGACATCAATTATAGACTAATCCCTCCCACTGGAATTGAAACTGGAATGTGAAACGAAGTAATGACAACATACAGAGATTGTGACCTATTATATAATAACGGAACTCGATTGCGTATTCAATAATTACATACAGTACAATTTTACACTCGTTGGATGTTATTGGAAATAGAGAAAAAGTTTACCCATAGAGTTCATCTAGACGACAAAACGGCGTCTTAGCAAAGGCACAACTCCAAGAAATCCATTCATTTTGTTGTGATCACTTTAAATTTGCCTGCGCGCATGCGCCATTCCGTCAGGTGTGGAGCTATGTAAACAAACGTGGAGTTCAGGGCCTGAGAAAAAGGAAGGAAAGAATGAAAGAAAGAAACATGACATGCGACGGGGGGAACTGTGTCAAGCTTTAAGAAGATTTTCTTTTGTTTTGAAAATACCACTCTCAGTCTTTGAGATGGTATAATTTGATCTAAATTTGATAAGAAAACAAGTATTCGTTTTCAATACTAATCACTAATCACTACCGCAACAAGGCTGACTGGTCGATCTAACCTTGAAGACTTTCCCTCTGAGGGGAAGAAAGAAGGGGGAAAAGGAGTGGGGGTCTGGGTCAGTAACAGGGGGAGTAACTCGTGATAAATTTATAACAATGAATCCACTCTTACTTATTTGCCCGTGCTTTCCCTTTCATGGGGGCCAACAGAATAATTTTTTTTAAAGTGCCAGGCTCAACTGCTATACTCATGTGCATTAACAGTACTTTGTTGCTTACCCCCCCCCCTCCCCCAGGCCGCACACACTTCCCTTTCCCCTTATTTTAAAAAATGGATGACATTCGACTACTTAAGACGTCACGGCTTCGAAATACACCTTTAAAGTAGGCATTACTACTACTCATGATGATCATCATATAAGAAAGTGGGCTTTTTGGCGGGGAGGGGGGGGGTTATTTTTCTGTTTCTTTTTTGTTTGTTTAGTTGTTTGTTTAGTTGTTTGTTCTGGGGTTGCTGTTTTTGTTTTGTTTTTTTGCAACTCCTGTTGTTAAATCACTGTTAATGTATTTTTTTGGGCTTTCCATAACAACAAAGAAGAAGAAGAAGAAGAAGAAGAAGAAGAAGAAGAAGAAGAAGAAGAAGAAGAAGAAGAAGAAGAAGAAGAAGAAGAAGA